CAAAAGGATTTACTCTGATATTATTTTAAAAATCATAAATAAAAATTGGTCTTTTCTGGCCGAGATTTTGGGGATGTCACATTACGTCTCCTATATATTGGATAAACTTTTCATCAACCGAAATATGCTCTGTGAATGTCTTTGGGATGTTTTTTGAACACTTGTTATCAATCATGCATGGGCATTTAGGATTATCACTACCACAAGGACCATGCATCATGAACTCGCTGACAAGTTCATACAATTCTGGATCGTCGTCTTTGTTTGGAATTTCAGCATACATAACACGACCAATATGTTCAACGGTTGGGAGCTTGTAATCAGAGTGCATGAATAGACATATATGAGCATGAGGTAGGCCGCGCTTTTGAAACTCCATCATATAAACAGCTGACAAGTTATTTACATAGAGATGTATTATAAGATTTTGAAAAAAAAAACGTATTAACAAAATGTATATAAAAAACACTTTAACAATGCATTATTAATATAAATTACCAGCTTTGACCGAACCCAATAATGAATTTTTCTTTAAGTCTTTAATCAATGAATCTAGCTTCATTTTGAACAACCTAGATAGGATATTCGGTCTGTCTTCGGGGTTTGAGGTTTGTGTCAGCAATAAACCTTTAAATCTCGGGTCACTTTGGATTGCATGTTACAGTTATGAAATAATCTGGGTAGCCAAACCACTTACAAAGTAACATGGCATCTAAATAGTTTTGCATCATGTAACGTGTACCACTAGTAAAAGAAGAAGGCAATATCACACGCTGTCCAATATTCGAAATATCTGTATTTCCATTGTTTTTCACGCTGCATAAAGTTTCATAGGACTCGCATCGAAGAACTTTTTGTTGGTTTCGTATGTAATACAGCCTCTCGCTTTCAATCATCGTATAACCATCTACCAGAAATTGTTGAAAAAGCCTTCTTGAATTCAGAACTAATTAGAAAATATTAACTCTGTCTTGAATCCTATAAGAAACGAATTCTCTCATTGTACAGTTACATCGTTTGTTATTCGTTGAACACGTAACACCTCTATGAGGGATGTCAACTCGATATCCATCATCCCCATAAGAAAAGAGCAGTGGGTATTGAAGAGCAAGGTAAGCAGGATGCAATTCATTTATACGTTGTAGACTGCATGATTTAGTTTTTACGATGATATCTCTATTATCAATTGAATTACCCATGTCACCAACAATTAAAGCAGCAACCTCATAAGTGGTAGGTAAGTTATATGTCCTTCCATCATGTTGTCTTCTTCCTATAAGATGTAACTTTAGATCTATATTAGGACTTGCATTAAAATAATCTCTTGCCATTCTATAACACTTAACCAACTCATTTGTTGAATCCAACATAACCTTCAAAAATCTTATGATTTCGATATCAAGTTACATAGAAGTTGAATTGCACCCATCTTTTTGTGTACTGGTAATAATGACGATTATATTTAATATTTAGTAGGTTAATAAGTATAATAAAAAAAAAAGGATTGTTATAAAAAATAAACATGAAATATACCTGTAAGCGTGTTGTCTATTTGAAAGTTTGTTGTCAGTATCATATATGTATAGTTGAGAGAACTTTGGTTTTGATCCATCTATAGGTAGAAGGTTGTCCATACAATGGTAATTTTGACCACTAAGTCTGAAAATATATGGACCTTTGCCTTTGTTAACGGAAGAATCAACTTTTCCACCCATCGATGTAAATGAAAACATCGAATTGAACAGACGAATGTTGTTCAAAAAATGATTCCCTTTGGGATGAACAGAACGATAAAGATTTTGGTAATCTTCATGTGCTTCTTTTAATTCAGGAAGCTCGACCTTTCCGTTACCACAACACATTGAAAAGGATGTTTTGTTGCCATCTTTATTGCCTTTAAGGGCTTTATTTTGCCATAATTTTTCATGACAACTCGTACACACAAAACTTTGAGCACCATGGTCGAAATAATCTGTTTAAAAAAACTTGATTAAAGATATAAATATATTAATCTTGAAATGAGTAATAGTTTAATATAATCATTAGTGTCACCTTTTGAGATACCCGAAATCAATTGAACATGATTATGCTGAACATTTAAGTGTTCATGTGATGTTAAGTCTATGGTTATATGAGATATATTTGAGATCTTCGTTTTTGACTTTTTGTTTCTCAAAGATAAACTGATAGAATATTGTATTATATTGTCTATCATTAGACAATATAGAATATGTAGGTGTCATATCATTAGACAATATAGAATATTGTCTATTTCCTGACACTGAAAGTATAAATGTTAGTATTGGATTTTGAAATAAAAATGATACTAGTATGATTTAAATTGTATACAATACAACCATAATATTTTATGTAACTTATATAGTAGGAAAACTGATGTGAAAAGAAATTAGATATACCATTTGTAATGTTAGATAACGGTGTTGTTGTCGTATAATTCGAAGTAGATTTGAAACTTTGATGAGCATACTCCATACACGCTACGAAATAAAAATATTTTAATTAATATAAAAAATAAAATAAACATAATAAACATTGGAATTTAATATTAAACAATTAATTATACATTAGATGGATGAAAAATAAATTATATAATATATAGCATATTACTGTTTGGTGTGGTGCAAGTCTGAATGGATCTTCTATTATCAAAATAATTTTTTCTTTGTTTTCGCTTATCTTTATAAACGTTTGGGTTGACATCTTGATTATCACCAGTAACATTATTGGACTTGCTTGATGACAATGTTTGACATTTGCTATTGTCATTAGTAAGCACTAGAAAATTATATAAGAAAAAAGTTATTATAACCCTCAAAATATTTATAAGTTAACATATATAAGAAGAAATATATATATATATATATATATATATATATATATATATATATATATATCATCGAAAACGAAATATAAGAAATTTGTTTAAATAAAATATTAAAAAATGAAAACATTGTTGATCGTTATGACCATTACTTGTGAAATACTAAGAGTGTTATAAGGAAATATGCATTATTTATATCGCAAAAGGTTAACACAAAATAAAAACTAATAAACAAAATTAAAAATATTATGTAAAAAGAATACTCTCGTAGCAAACTAATTATAAAAGCATGATAGAAAATATATATATATATATATATATATATATATATATATATATACCATTTGGCGTGGTGGTCATATTTTTACATTTTTTGTTATCCAAATATAATTTTCTAAGTTTTCTTTTATCTTTAACATCATTAGATAATGAACTTGTAATATCAACATCCAAAGTAGATTGAAAAGTTGTATGCTGATATCCACCTGAAATATTTGAATTTATATTTGCATTGTTACCTGCAAGATATATAGAATAATTTGAAGTGGTTAGATGTTGATAAGGATAAAAGATTTGTATCCATATACTAAGAGTATAAATGTCAGTATTGAATTTTGAAATAAAAAGGATAATAATATGATTTAAATTGTATGCAATGCATAGATATTATTGTATGTAACTTATATAGTAGGATAACTGATATGAAAAGCTATTCGATATACCATTGGTAATGTTAAATAACGGAGTTCTTGTCCTATAATTGTAAGTAGATTTGAAACATTGCTAAGCACACTCCATATAATCTATGAAATAAAAATATTTTAATTATTACAAAAAAATAAAACAAACATAATAAACAAATGAATATATTATTACACAATTAATTATACATTATATGGATGAAAGATAAATTATATAATATATAGCATATTACCGATTGGTGTGGTGCAAGTCTGAATGGATCTTGTATTATCCAAATAATCTTTTATTTGTTTTCGTTTATCTTTATAAATGTTTGGGTTGATATTTTGATTGTCCCCGACAACATTATTGAAGTTGGTTGATGACATGGTTTGACTTTTGCTAATGTCATTAGTAAGCACTCAGAAAAATATATAAGAAAAAAGTTATTAAGACCCTCAAAATATTTATAATTAACATATATACGTATAAAAAAAATATATGCATATTTATTTCATCGAAAACGAAATATAAGAAATTTATTTAAATAAAATATTAAAAAATCAAAACAATGTTGATCGGAAAAATTGTTACTTGTGAAATACTAAGAATGTTATAAGGAAATATGCGTTATTTATGTCGCAAAATATTAATAGAAAATAAAAACTAATCAACAAAATTAAAAATTTTATGTAAAAACAATACTATGGTAACAAAGTAATTATAAATGCATGAAAGAAAATATATATATATATATATATATATATATATATATATATATATATATATATATATAATATATATATATATATATATATATATAGTTGTTTTATCTTTACATTTTTTGTTATTCAAATATAACTTTATAAATTTTCTTTTATCTTTAGCATCATTAGATAATGAACTTGTAATATTAAAAAGATATATCAAAGTAGATTGAAAACTTATATGCTGATATTCATCTGAAATATTTGAATTTATATTTTTATTGTTACCTGCAAAATATATAGAATAAAATGAAGTGGTTAGATTTTGATAATATGTTATATAATTTATTGATTATGTGTAATACAAATTTAATATATAATTTTTATAAAGAAAAACAACATTTAATATATAATATTCTACCGGATTAATAATATAATTTATTGATTATGTGTAATACAAATTTCAATAAGACTTAATCAATATTTTTATAAATTAAATTAAATAAAAGAGTAATGATAATAAGAAAAAATGGACAGGTTGAAAAATAATGACAAAATTGCAAAAATGGTCCCTGTGGTTTGCATTTTTTCAGGAAAAAAGTCCAAACCACGAGTTTTTTGGTTTTTTGGTCCTTTTGGACTGGTTTGTTTGTGAGAATGGTCCCTATACTTAACACCAGTTAAATTCCATCCGTTAACCCCCTCATGTGCCTTGCACGTGAGGGTATTTATGTCCTTTTACTTATAGGGACAACACTTCCTTCTACCTTTTATCCCTCATTTACAATCCCAAACACCCGTCAACTCCCCACCTCCCTCCTTCTTCCTTCTGCTCCATTAAACCTGCAAAAAAAAAAAAAGTCGTTATCGAAAGAACCTAATCGAAGCAAAAGGAGACAAGGTCATACTTTAAAGTCGAAATGGTGTACGTAATGTGGCAGATCAGACCAAAAAATGAAGTTGTCGACGTATCATCCTTATATGGTAAGTTGCTCTGTTTTCTTAAACATTCCTATTTTTCATTTTACCCTTGATTTATACTAAAATCCGCCAAATTTTGACTTTGTTATCATGTACAATTTTGACTTGTAGCGGGTGCACCCACATGGTTTAGTATTAAGCTTCATCATGGTGGGAAGTTTACTAAGTTACCTGACATAAAGTATACTGGAGGTGAAGTGCGTTATGTTGATTATGTGGACATAGATGAGTTTTCTGTACATGAACTTGATGCCATAATGCTTGACCTAGGTTACCCAGACCCACGGATGATTGAATTGAGTGTTGAATCCCCAGTGATATACTACCATTTCAGGATACCCAATGGTGACTTTCAATTTGGTCTTAGAGCTTTAGGGAATGATCAGATGTTATCAATCTTTCTAAATTTATTCAAAATAACAAGTTGATTGAAGTGTACACAGAACATGGGAAGACAAATCTACTCACATACTTCATGTCTCCAAATGCAAAGGGTAAAGTTGTCATTGAGGAATTACCAGAAAATGATGATCAAGGGGCTAAATATGAGGCTGAAGTTCATGTAGAATCTCCATTGAGAAATATGAACCATGTCAATGATGAACCAATTGGTGAGTACATGTCTTTGATTCTTTTTGGGAGTAAAACTGATGCATTCTCTCCAGAGTATAGAAGGGGTAGAGTTGGGAATTCAAAAAGAGAGGAAGGTTCTTGTAGCAAGAGGCTTAATTTAGAGGATATTGATGATTTAAAAGAGAAGGAAAACACTAATGAGGATGAGATGATTGATGGATGCTACAACACCCCACCCATTAATGATGATGAACAATATAATGAACTTTTTGACAACCTTATGGAAAATTTAAATGGAAGTGATGAGTATGTTGAAGAGTATGAAGGGGATGTTGAATCTGAAGAGAGTGATGAAGAGTATGAAAAGGATGAAGGTGATGATCATGATGGGAAACAATCAGAAAATGAAGATAAAGTGGATGACATAATGGATGAGGAGAACAATATAGAAGATGTTGATGTGGACATGGCAGACTTCTTTGTAAATGTTGAAAGTGATGTTGAAGGAGCATGTATTAATGATGGTCATGAACCTGAAGATATGGAAGTGATCAACAATGAGGAGTTCGAATCATTGGATGAAGGATCAGACCAAGACAGAGAAAGAAGAGCTCTCATAAGAAATTTGGGAAAAGAAAAAAGGTGCAACTTTGGGTCAGTACATATACAGTCATTCTCAGTGGGGCAAAAGTTTAAAAGTAAAAAAGAATTAAAGGAGTTAATTGATGTGCACGCACTAGAAACAAGAAGGAATCTATTCTTTAAAAAAAATGACAGTCAAAGGCTTAGGGCACAGTGCAGAGGAGTTGTACCTGTCATCAATAAAGGTCAAGTGGGGACTAAACCTACCACTTCAAAAAGCAAGGGCAAAGAAGTAAAGACACAAAAAGAAACATGTGGTTGGTATATACATGCATCTAGGTCAAACCCCGAATCTGATTGGTTTATAAGGACCTTAAACCAAACTCATACATGCTTACAAACAAGAAAACTCAGAGCTTGTACTGCTTCTTTAATCTGCAAGAAAATCATAGATCAAGTTGAGGCAGATCCGAAGATTCCTTTGAGAGCCATACAAGATCACTTTCAAAAGACCTACCAGGTGGGTATTTCAATGGATAAGGTGTTTAGGGCAAAAGATATGGCAAGAAAGCATGTAACTGGGGACTACACAAAACAGTTTGAGTTGTTGAGGGACTATGCTCTTGAACTTCAAGCTACAAACCCAGACACAACAGTCAAAATAGATGTGTGTCCTAATGGCAACCCTGCATCCCCAACAAGGCAGTTTAGAAGGATTTATGTATGCTTGGGTCCACTGAAAAAAGGTTTCAAAGCATGTCTTAGAGACTTAGTAGGTTTGGATGGTGCCTTCATGAAAGGCCCATTCCCTGGTCAGGTTCTTACAGCAGTTGGTCTAGATTCCAACAATGGAATTTATCCCTTAGCCTATGCAATTGTTGAGTCTGAAAACACAGCTAGCTGGAAGTGGTTTTTAGAAAACCTTGGGGATGACTTGGAGCTTGGGAGCAACTCAAACTATACTTTCATAAGTGACAGGCAAAAGGTAAATTAAAACTCATCAATTGATCATTTAGATTGTGTTTTTTTACCAAGAAATTAATTCTAATTATTGTATGTTGAGTCATGTAGGGATTACAAATTGCAGTTGATCAATTGTTTCCCAATGCTGAGCATAGGTATTGTATTAGACATATTCATGACAATATGAGAAAGAAGTGGGGGCAAACTGAGTACAGGGACCATTTATGGAGGTGTGCATCAGCAACCACCATTCCTGAGTTTGAACATTTGATGAAAGAGTTTAGTGAGTATGATAAGGAGGCATGTCAATGGTTGAAGCAAATTCCTCCTGTACATTGGGCAAGGAGTCATTTCTCAGGTAATTGTATATGTTTGCATATGGTAAAGATTATGTGTTTCAGTTATTTATCAGCATTAATTGTATGTTATTGTAATGTGCAGGAAGAGCTGTTTCTGATGTGTTGATTTCAAACATGTGTGAAGTGTTTAATGGGAAGATAGAGAAAGGCAGGGACAAACCTGTAATTTCATGTTTAGAGTTCATTAGGGAGTATCTAATGAAGAGGATATGCAATGTCATGAAGGCAATGAAGAAGGCTAAAGGTCCACTAACACCTACAGCAACAGACATCCTAGATGCAAGGAAAAAAAGTGCTTCACAATATATTGCTAGGTGGAATGGGGCAAACAAGTATCAAGTCACTGCAGCATTGCAAGATCAACATGTGGTGGATGTTAGGAACCAAACCTGTACTTGCAGAAAGTGGGAATTAATGGGAATACCTTGCAGGCATGCAATTGCAACTCTGAATGAAATGAGCAAAGACCCTGAGGCTGAGCTTGACATTTACAAGTGGGTACACAAGGTGTATTGGCTAGAGACATGGCAAAAAGCTTATTCATTTAAGGTGGAACCAATTAAAGGGAGACCCATGTGGCCTAAAAGTAATTGTCCAACAAAGCTAATCCCTCCTCCACATCACACTCAGGTGGGAAGGCCTAAGAAAAAAAGAAGACAAAGTGAGGGTGAAAGGTTAAGCAAAAGGCAGAAGGCAAGTGCAGGTGATGGAGTCAATGAGATGCAAGGAGAAAATTCCCAAGGGCCAAGAAATGATGGAGTGCAGAAGCTATCAAGGAAACATGTTAGTGTTACTTGTAGCAAATGCAAGAATAAAGGACACAACTCTAGGACCTGTAAAGGGCAAGGAGGGAATCAATCTAAGAAGTGATTGTGGTTATTTGTTGTGGTGCAATGACTATTTAGTTTCTTGTTGTTAAAAACTGTTTGTTTTTGAAAACTTTAGTTATGGTTTGATGATGTGGTTATGTATGGTGCACAGACACTTGTATGCTTAACTTGGTAATGGTTTTTGGTTCCACTCATGTGGTTAATGGAATGTTCATTTTGGTAAATTTATGACATGTATTTTGGTAATGTACTTTTGTTACATTTTGGTTCTATTTATGTGCTTATATCTGACAACTGATACACATTTTGAACACAACTGATACACATTTTGGAATTCATTACAAACATGATGAAGTCAAATTACAACAAAATTATACCATTTTTACCCTGCATCACTTGATCAACAAAAATCCCCACATTTGCCTAACCCTATCCCTTACATAGACCAAGTACTAAAGATAACAATCACAAACATAAACCAACTTGCACATAAATACATCTTCAGCTTGAAACCTTCATCCTTCAATGCATCACACCTTGCCTCCAACATGTTGTTCCTGCTCAAAAGTCCATTGCACTGTTCCTGTAACATGTTGATACTTCTTACCAGCCCATTACATCTTTCCTCCAATGTATTTATGTTTCTTAGAAGACCAGGTATGATGGTTTTACTCCTAGCACAAATAGGTGGGTCAACCCACCCGATAAACCCACAAACAGAATCCTTAGTAGGGCAAGCATAAAACCTCCTGCCGGGATTCAGTGGTGTCCAAGACGTTTTCACCAAAGCAAGCTTTCCACAAAAACAAACCACCATTGTTCGATTGCAAGTCAGGAAAGGAGAAATGGAAGATAATAGTCGTTGGGGAAGAACAGTTAAGAACGTTGGGGAAGAAGATTTGTTGGGGAAGAAGCTGGGAAAAGAAGAGAAAACGATATATAAAGGATGTTTTATTTTTCCATATGCAAAAATGGTCCCTATAAGTAAAAGGATAGAAATACCCTCACGTGCAAGGCACATGAGGGGGTTAACGGATGGAATTTAACTGGTGTTAACTATAAGGACCATTCTCACAAACAAACCAGTCCAAAAGGACCACAAAACCAAAAAACTCGTGGTTTGAACTTTTTTCCTGAAAAAATGCAAACCACAGGGACCATTTTTGCAATTTTGTCAAAAATAATTACCAATTAAAGTGGTTGTCACGACATTGGATATTTTTTTATCCAAATTTAACTTTCTTTGTTTGCGCCAGTAAATAGAATGATTTGAATCCATACGATGTTTATATCATAAAAAACAATAGATCATATAATAAAACTATAATAAACCAATGTTATATAAATTGATAGTATATATTATGAATTAGTAAAATTGACACATTATAAAAATACGTACGTGTAAAAAAATTGTTAATTTAACATCTTTTGAAGCTTATATTTAATAAAAATAAATGGACGTGGAATTATTATAAAGAATTTGTATTTATATATTTAAATTTAATATACATTATTGGATTATATAAAAAATATTGTACTGAAGACAAACCTTATGTAGTTAATTGGAAAAAAAATAGATTTTCGTAGTTAAACCAGGAAAAAAGAAAGAAATAAAAGAAATTAAACTATAGTGATTCTTATAGAAAGTTTATTTACTTCTTTTACTTATGATTTTTTTTTTTTTTTTTTTTGCTTAACAACGAATTCAAAAATTATTTTCACAGTTTTATTTTATCATACAGTGTTGAATATTAAACATTAGTTATCTTAAATATAAAATAAAAAAAAAAAAAAAAAAAAGGTTTACGTAAAGAATGTGGATAAAAAAGTAAAACAACATCGTGAGCAACGACGGAGGCATTGAATCTGTGAATATCGATTCTTGACCTAAGCAGAATGCAAGATGCGGTTTGGATCCTCTGGTGTACAATTGAAGATTGAAGGAACTAAAAGGGGTTCATTAAACAACGACAGTAGAAAGAAATCACAAATGATACCGTCGGAATTTATGGGTGCTGAGATGGAAATAAAGTGATCGACAAAGAATTTCCGATGGGCACATGTAGTGGAACATGAATTGTTAAGGTTTGTTTTATAATAAAAGTTATTAATTGATGAATATTTTAATTTAGGTTCAGATTTTTTTATTAATTGGAGAATATTTAGCCAGATTTTGTGCTTTCCTTTTGGTGGTTTAGGTATATGTGTAATGCAGGGGCATAATAGGAAAAGTAGTGAGAATCCGAGTAGAAAAGAGAACATATAGGACAAGGGCATAGGTAGCATCGATATACAAAAGGAAAATATTGTTGGAATCATATTCTCTATACCATTAGAATCATATTCTTTAGAATATGACCCATGATCTACTGTTGTTAATTCATTTTGCGATAATTACATTATTAATTCTAAAGGAGATTACAAAAAGATGTGTGTTCTGAGCACTGGGACATGCCTCCTGAAGAGACACGTTTTGTATTGATTTTGCTTGTGCTTAAAGGGAACAACTTTCAAGACAAGATTACAGGGTTTGTGTTGTTGGCATCTAGCATTAGTTAAGCATATAATGATAAAGATAGAGCCTCGATAGCAGCAATTGCTAAAAATTTTTGAGGTAATACTTAATAGTCCTTGTTAGTTTTTGAGTTAATGAGTTCAGCAACTATGCCATATGGTTATTACCTTTTGACTTAATTTGGACAAATTTACTTAATAGGTTAAGCCAAAAGAAACGGAAGAATACTAATGAGTTCAAATGACTATTTTACCCACGTATATACAAGGGGCATATGGGAATGTTTCATCGGATTCAAGTGATGTGGATTTTTCTGATTCTGAAGGGCCAAAAAAACGGAAGAATACTAATGATAAGGCCAAAATCATGTTAATTAAAATTGATGAATGTTGTGAACATACTCTGATTTATCAAGATTCCCTGTCTACCTATTTTCTTTTCTTCTTTTTCCCTCCAATTATTTATTATCATCTCTTTGGTATACAGTTCCTCCTGGTGATGAAGGGTGGCTTTGCCCTGCTTGTGATTGCAAGGTTGATTGTGTTGACTTGTTAAATGATTCCATGGGGACAGATTTGTCCATCAACGATACCTGGGAGGTTAGTTTGGTCATTTTTAAAAAAATATTCCATTTGGGTTTTTACAAAAATCTTGATTTTCATATATTGTAGAAGGTGTTTCCTGAAACTGCAGTGTTTGGGGATAACTTAAATGACATTTCAGGGCTTCCCTTTGATGATTCTGAAGATAACGATTATAACCCTAATGCTCCACAGGTAGCAGAAGGTGAGGTGGATGTAGAGGATCCAAACTCTAATGAGTCTGATGACTCTGCTTCTATAACATGCGTACCCACTGCTATAACTCATAGCCTCGTTCCATTACACAATAATGGGTTAAAAGCTTGACTAATGTTTTGTTCTTTAAAAATAGGAAAAATAAGATAAAACAAAAAAAATCAATATACCCAAATTGCCCTTGCATTCTCCATTTATGTTTACTTTAAGTGTTATAAAGACAAACTTTCATCTTTTGGTTTTTTACCTTTACTAATAGAAACATACACACAACAAAGTAAGTTGCTTGATTTTGCTTATTTAAAATTGGAAATTTTTACTTTATAATTACAATGACCACATTCCCCATTTATTTACAACACATACACACATTTCATACAATAGCATGACAAATATAAAGAAATATAGAAGTACGTATACGGGCGATCGAAATTTGCCAATTTAGAAAAAAAAAAAAAAAACAAAAACAAAAATCAACCAACATACTTTGGTTTGTTTATGTTTCTAAGAGTACAGGTAAAAAAAAATGAAAGCAATTGTTAGAAGCAATAAAAGTTGGTTGCTAATTAAACTACATGATTAGAAAATACATATTGTATTATAAATCCTCATGAACCCCTTGTTAAAAAAAATGAATCCATTTGGACTAGATCATATCACTACTAAGAGGAACATTTTTTTAAATACAATGTTTTACTTTTAGATATTTATATAAATTAAATTATTCAGTATTCTACTTTCGATCACCCATAATTACAAAATGAGGTCACAAACAGAAAGTTTGTACCTACTAAACTGTTTTGTTGAAGAATTTTGAGTCAAAATGACCTTATTTTGACCTAAAAGACGTTTTTCTCCAATTTAATCGTTTTTACTGTTTTTATCTCTTCTGCATCTTCAGATTTGGGAGCCATAGCAAATAATAATAATAATAATAATAATAATAATAATAATAATAATAATAATAATAATAATAATAATAATAATAATGATAATAATAATAATAATAATAATAATAATAAGGCCAAAAGTTCTGGATCAGATTTTACATTTGATTCAGAGGTTTTTGGTGACATCAGCAAGAATGAAGTGACATCATCTGAAGTTGTTAAAGAGTCTGTAGTATCTGAAAAATATGAAGAAATCTTGAAAACAAATATGGAAAATGATGATTCTACCCCTATAACTGCAAGGAGACATGTTCAGAGATTGGACTACAAAAAGTTGCATGATGTAAGAGCATGTTTATTTTCCTTTTCTCTGCATGATGTAAGAGCATGTTAATTTGGACAAAATTACTTAATAACATGTTTCTTTTCCTTTTCTCTGCATGACGTAAGAGCATGTTAATTTTCAGGTTGAACTATTTCACAAAATCTTTAAGCTTTGTGGTTCGCCACCAGAAGAGTACTGGAAAAAGTCAAAGCTTCCTCATGCCGCCATGTTTAAACCACAACATCCGTATGAAAGTTGTTTACTTGAAACTTTCAAAGAGTTGCCTAAATGTGTTGTAGATCTAATCCAAACATTGTTGTCTGTGGAGCCATATAAGCGTGAGACTGCTTAGTATAAGTTGATGTATGTCGCTTATTGCTTTCCTTTATCCTAAATTAGTGTTGTGTGAAACTGCAAAACGTCTACCCTAGTATTTTAACATGCTTACAATAAGGGAGACCCAAAACAAAAGAGGGTCAAATATTACTCACATTTCACTTTTGGTGGATTGCCACAACATATAATTTTATAATCGGGACCAGGTTATGTGATGACATGACATTCGTTACATACGTGTTTAACTGTTTATCAAGCTTTTATTTTTCATTAAGTTTATGTAATAATATTGTACGTTTACTAATTTAAGTAACTTGTTATAATTAAATTGTTGCATGTTTGTATTATAAAAAAATATATATGTACATTATTGAATCAATTTAATTCAAAGTTTTAAAAACTAATAAGATGTAATAAATAACAATTTAAAACTAAATAAATGAAAACATTTAATAAAGAAATCAAAATCCATTCTTAACATATAACGAAAGAAAACAAAATTTGTGAAACCAACAACGAAAGTATTCTTGACAAACCATAAAACCTAAAAATTGATGTTCGACTGGAATGATAAATAAAAAACGAAAAACTGAAAATTGTTTGAAACGTTCATAAGATCTCACTTCTCGACTTTAGGAATCAATAGTTGGGTGGACACAACAGTTTCCTTGATTCCAATCGATTTTTTTGAAGATTTTGTTGATGACTCACAAATAGTATCTTCAAGATTGTAAACATCTACAAGTTTACGTTTCACATTGGTAGTTGGTGAAAGCAAGCTAGTGGTGTCATGGTTGGTTAATGGACTCATTGAAATGGTATTTGGAAAAGTAGAGATAGGAGTATTATCGGCAACGAAGGAAGCAGAACCCTTAAATGAAAGAATTAACATATGTTAATGATTGACATAAGAGTAATGTAAAAGGAGTGAAAAGAAAAAAAAAAGTAGGAAATTATTCCTTAAAACCAATTGTATCCTGAGAGTTGAACTCTGAGACCACGACATTAACATATATATAACAGTTTGTAAAGTGTAATTTAGATTGGTAAATATCAAGTATATAAAACATAATTTGTAGACGGATTAAGACTTATTTGTAGTTCCACCTATTCAGTGTGGTTTGCTTTTTCAACCTTCTCGAGCGCAGAAATTATGTCAACATCATCACTTATCTTTGATATGTTGTAACTACGGATGTATTTTCTTCCAGAGGTAAAGCCTCTAACTATAATTTTGAAAGCCATTTTTCTACCATTAAGTTCATTGATCTCAACAGGAAAAGCAACAGTCTCACCCATCTAAAAAAAAGAAAATGAAACAAAATTAGAATTAAAATATAGAAATGATTAGAATAAATTATGAATTTTATATATAATGGATTTTATAATATATACCTTTTCATACTTTTCTATCAAATCTGATGCTGAAATGTTTAGAATACTTCTAACATCCCGATCAAACAGAGTAAGTGTCACTACTCCCACCAAGCCTTGTACTCGAATTTTGAGCATAAAACTAAGGTATTTAAAAAACAGATAAAAACCATACGAATTAGATAAATACAATAATGAAAGAATATTAAATTTCTTATTATACCTTGGTTCAGCAACTATGACTTGATGACTTGTTTTTTGCACTTCTCCTGTGTACATACCCAAGGTTCATTCTCAGCCACATGATCCAAAACATTGGCCTGTTCAATGGGCATTTTATGAACCTTTCTCTTACAGTTCTTGCAAGTCGGGTAGTACCATTGTTGATTATCTTCAAACATCTTAATTGTTCCAAGAATGATGGCATAACTCCCCTATTATTAGTAATAACCAATGATGTTGAATCAGGAAAATTAAGCATTACTAATTTAACATTTAATAATGTAAATATACCTCATCTAATTCAAGGATCATGGAAATCTGGTAGAATTTAGTATTTTTCAGAAAGTCATCATGTACAGTATACATGATAGAAGACGTAGCACAAAAACATGAAGAAGCCGATCCACTTTCTTTTCCATTAAACCTGTTTACAAATAAAGTGTATGTCACATATCTTGATCAACTCTCATTGAAATCACAATATCTTATCTGTCATGTATATTTAGGAGAGATTTAGGATAGATTTAAAATAGAGAGAGATAAAGTGAAACCGATTGAGAGAAGTTTCGTTTGTGACATTTTTGAGTGTCCGGTTTCGCAACGCAAGGTCCGTAAACCCCGTTAAGCCATGTTTAAGGATCCTACACACTCCTGATGAGTATGCAACATGGTTTTATCGGTTTGGTTCGTTACTTACCACAGTTTTAGGTTAAGGAAATTTAGATATACGAACTTTTCAATTGATGATTTCTCATTAAAATAGCGAGTTGTATAGTAATTTTATGGCGTAAACCCTAGTATACAAGGGTTAAATGAGTTGACTGGTTTGACTCGTTGATTTTGTTTGACTTTGACTTGACCAGAATTTGACTGTTATCACACGAACCACGCCGTTTGTAAGACGTGACTTAAGGTAACAATTTTGTATATAATTACAAAATTAATAAAACGTTTATAGTGAAAACTCAAAACTATTAATCAATTATTTTAAACAAATTATTAATTAAAATATTTTTTTAGTTATATAAAATTATAATCATTGATTTAAATAAATACATGACCTTATAATTTCTATTAATTTTATGAGAAATTTAAAATAAAAGATCAATAGGTTGACAAGTAGAATGATATATGTATATTCTTCTATAAAAATTAGAATATATATATATATATATATATATATATATATATATATATATATATATATATATATATATATATATTATAATTCATACATAATTGTGGAGCCCACAATTTGTTAAGTCCAAATCTTAAAGATAAAGAGGTGAAATATAGATCCTTTGATTAAAATGAAAGGTGTAGATTAATTTTTTGGTGATGAAAGCTCTTCAAAAACAATGACTTTAATGTACAATTTTTTAAGCTTAATATATATATATATATATATATATATATATATATATATATATATATATATATATATATATATATATATATATATATATAGAGAGAGAGAGAGAGAGAGAGTCAAGATCAAATAAGAAGGAAATTTTTGGTACGAATGTAAGAAATTTTTTTTCTACATATTTTTTTCGCGAACAAACAAAATGAATCATTAGATGATTCATTTGTAAGATGATCTACAAGAAAAAAATTCTAAAAAAAACATGTAGATGATTCATTTATATAATGATTTTGTTGTTATTCACTAAAATTATCATAAAAATGAATTTTTTTCTTAATTTACTTAAAAATGAATCATAAAGATGTTTTTTTAAGAATTTTTTCTTATGAATCATTTTACAAATGAATCATCTAGTGATTCATTTTTTTTGTTCGTCAAAAAACTATATAGAAAAAAAAAAACTTCTTACCTTACTATCAAAAAAAATTTTTTTACCGGATATATATATATATATATATATATATATATATATATATATATATATATATATATAATGCATAAACAAACACAAAAGGATACAAATTAGCAGTCATTCGGATCTTATATATTCCACCATTTCAATCTCAATTTTAATATTTACCAAATCTCTCTCTCTCTCTCTCTCTCTCTCTCTCTCTCTCTCTCTCCAAACACCATAAAGCACCAACGTTAGCCAACCTCCGTTGCCCACCAACGCCACTACTTCCGCCATCACAACCACTATCTCTTCTCATCGCCGTCACCACTCCTTATGCATTGAAGATAGTTTTTCTTTAAGAAGCTCTTTTGATATTTAGATCTTTGTAGCTCTAATGTTTTATGTATTCAAATCTGTCTTGATCTATATTTCGGTTGACGTTTTTGATTTATAAAATGTCGTATCCGTTGTCAGTCAAAGATAAGTTTGTGTTTGTTCATTTTGTTGTTTATTCATTTCCGTTTTATTGTAATTACAATAAAGTCGAATATGTTTGTAGATGTATTGTAGAAAGTGCTACATAAAAAAAGTTTGAGTAATTATTCATGTTCATTGTTAAGATGTGATATTTTATATAGGTGGCTTTAGGTGAGAGTAAGATGGCAAAAGAGATTTTTTTGTTAGCATCAGATAAATAAAATTCAAAATGTTTTTGTTGTTACTCACTTTGCTTTGTAAATAAAAGTTTTTTAATTCAACAAATAATTTTATCTTTTATCAAAAGCATGATTGTTCATATCAAAAACTGTCTTCGAGAATCTACTAATGTGGGTATGGATCTTTGTGTTTGTGTGTGTTACGTTTTTAGACCATTGTGTTTACTAAAGGTTTTATAAATAAAAATGTTTAGTTGTTTGATATATTATTAGGAGGATTTAGCATGTTGAATTTCTTGCTCTTAAATAAAAAACAATTCAGACAAAACATAATAAATTGAGGATGGTTTACAAGATACACCATTTTTTATTTTTATTAGAAGAAGTGTATTAACGGAATACATATATTATTGAACTTAATATATTATGTTGTCTGGTTTAATGCATTTAGTTTGTAAATATCCCAGGAATGAAGAACTCTAAAAATATAAACAAATGATAGATTAATGCAATTTAATAACATCAATCAACAGATTTATGCAATTTAAAAACAAAATGTGAGTTTTTCTTTAAAAAATGATGTCTGCAGAGAAGATAAGTGGTAAAATGTGTATCATTTTCCATTTTTTGTTTATTTTTTATTTTTAGTATTTAAATAATGGGTTAATGATTTTTTGAAAGATATTATTATTTATATTTATCTTTCTATCTTTGCAAGTACTGAAGTACATACTATATGTAACTTTGTAATACCATTTTATCCAGAAATATAACATACTTATTGTTTTAAAATCAACTCTAATAAATAATTTTTTTTACCATATATCACATTCTTATTGATTTGTCCGCATGTCATTTTATGGTTATTTTCAATTAAACTTTTTCCACATGGTATTTTGTGTTTTTTTCCATTTTATTAAATTACATATAATATTTAAATG